TTTATCTGAAATCACTTCTAAAGATTTTAGAACATTATCAAACTTTTTATTCTACAAAAATTCGCTGTATTACAAATTGTATTCAATATCCATGTAACAACTCTACCTATAATTGTTTTTTTAATTTTCGGTTATAAAATTCATTTTAAATTTGGTGCTTTGTAAGGAAATGTTATCAAAAATGTTTCTTTTGGACTTTACTTTCTAATTCCCTCAATTTTACCTTGTTATCTCCAAGAACCATTTTCTCTGCGTGTGCCTTACTTTATTTTAAAGAAAAAAAACGCGTTGGTTGGGGTTGGGAGTAGGTAGCAGCGCAGTAAATTTCAAGCGTTTCATCAATGTCACTGTAAAAGGACTCCTCGTCCTGGCCCACGCATATCCTTTTGTATTTAAAATGTTTGCCTGCCTTTGCCTGATGAACACAGAACACAGCCAAAAGTTTCTTTTTCTCTCTGCTCGCAACAATTTCATTATCTGCGGACGGGCGTTGAGGGAAAGTGGGGGAAAGTGAGTGATAGGGCAGTTGTTGTGTGACAGGCGACACGCCGCAGCAAGTGGCAAAGGACTTTCTCTTCCACTTCCCCTTCCCCTTACCCTCCCCATCCCCCTTCGTGCTCCTCCCTTTTCCTCCTCTTCCCTTTCCACTCGCTCAAAGAAGCGAGCAAATTTTTATGGCACAAACTTTTTCATAGCATTTTTCAGAGCATACATTAAGGCGCTGATTCATGTGTGCACGGTACAAACTGAATTGACTGCTCTCCCTTTTTTTTACAAAACACTCTTTTTTTTAGATCAGTTAAAAAACTGAAATATTAAGGAATTTATCAATTTTATTTGGTATTTAATAAAGTATTAAATTTTCTTTGATAAAAGTTCAACATTATCGGTTTATGACAAACATTTGCTTATCGCATGATTTTGTTCAATGAATTTCTATTTTTTGATAGATTATATAAAAACTCATATTTAACTTTAATACATATTTAATACTTTAAAGATAGAAAACGCTGAAAAAGTCGGTGATTTAATAAAAACAACTCCTTTAATTATAATATATTAAAATTGAGCACACGCACAACATTTTAACACACAGTTTTTATATTATGTATATATATTTTTTTCTATAGGAGTTTATGTAGGACCTTCCCTTTTTGTTCTGGCTTACTGTACAAAAGGAAAGAGGGCGTGACTGCAGCCATAATGCGGCGTTAATACGGCCAGCAGTTGGTGGCTCATTCCCATCCGAAAAGTAAAGAAAAACAGGCGCTCGGAAAAGAAAAGCATCCTGCGGCGAATTTGCATAGGCTTAATTTAAATTCCCTTAAACAGCAGCCCGATATGTCTCCGCCTTTGTGTGTGTGTGTGAGTGTAGATAGGCCCGAAAAGGACAATGATCAGCGGACCTTTTTTCCACCGAAAAACTTGGCCAAGTCGAAACCGAAACCGAAGTTTAGCCAAAAGAAACGTGGAAAATCAGAGAAAACAAGGCAAAAAAGGGTTGCACCCTCAAGTTTGGCAAATAACTGCAGGCGAGCTGGGGAAACTCACACATACACCAGAAAAGGATATGCCAGGGGACACTGAGGACCTTTAAGCGGTGACATAACAAAATCAAAAGGATTTTGCGTATAAGTTGCAAATTAAGTTGCCCTCGCTCTTGTTCCCACGCCCCCATTTCCATTTGTTCGTGTCCTTGTTTCGCCTCAATCTTCCCTTTCTCATCCTGGATTTTCCGTTGCGTTTCCAACTTCATCATCTTATGTGCTTATGATATCCCTTTGGCCCTGCGGCCAAAGAACAACAGCCAGAAACAACAATAACAAGCAGTGAAACATGTCCTTGGCCTCGGCACACGCTTCCTGTTTGGGTTAAACTTGTCAGCGATTGCGGTGAGTTGGGGCCAAGGGCTAAGGATTGGGTGCTGAGACTTTAAATTAACAGATGAGATATCGGGAAAAAGTTTCAAGGGGCCAAGTTGAACGACACGATCATATCTGTGCAAGACAAATAAATCCTTTTTATGAACACAACTTTGATGGACTTGAGTGTTTGTCGACTACAAAATAGTTATATAACGATTAGACATGAAGAATGTAGATAAAACCTTAATAAATCTCTCTTATAAATATTAGTTGTTTTATATTAAATGACTTACCAGAGTTCGATGTATCGGAAGGGTATATCTACATTTATATTTCTCAAACTTGAATTGTATCTATTAAATATATGCTTATCATCAAAAATCAACATATTTTGTGAAGTTCCAAAAATAAAATTTATTTTTTTATATGAGTATTCTGCAATAAGTATAATTGGGATAAGGCCAAGATATTTCATTTATTGTCACGTATTCTACATTTTTTCATTAATGTAAGCGACTTTAATAACCGTTTGGGCGTATATATATGTTACTTTGCTTTTTATTTCTAAACATTGTCTCGTGTAATTTTTCTATATACATTCATTTTGTGTAGGTTACTTGAATCAAATGAAAGCAAAATAATTGCCAAAACATAGCCCAACTCGAACTGTCACATTACATAATCCCAACCAGCTTTTCCAAGGGAATTTCTCGGAAATTCATATTTATGGCATTCAGTCGATTTTGCAAGCATGCTTGTATTTTGTACATACCATGCCTGGAAAAAAGGCGCTCGACAAAGCGGCTTAAAAATGTGGAAGGGGGACAAGGACTCTGGCAAAGGGTAACGAGTGGCGCCGAGCTTATCTAACCATTCCAATATCGTGTGGCCGTTAGCCTCTGTCCCGAAAAGAAATCCTTTAATTGAGTGCACACTTAGGCCAAGCAGCAGACGGAAAAGGAAAAAAGACACTCACCCACACAGCCACACACTCACACTCACACTCCTTGCCAAAAAAAAGGGATGGGGTAGAGTCCTTGCCGCCTGACTGCCGCCTTTTTATGCGCTTTTAGCGCCATTATCCTTTTACGATTATCGCCGCTAAAGCGAATTGACTGTTTGACGTTCAATTGAAATTTTGCATTAAAGCTCAATGGCTTAACCCCTTCAAATTATGCAATAAGTCCCCAGGACCCCCAGTCGCAGTGTTCGCCCCCCGCCCACTTTTGGTCCTGCGAAACTCCGCCATCAGCAACGCAATCCCAAGCTGAGCCCAAGCAGCTTTCAGCTCGCAAACTCGCAAATGGCAAATGGTTCAGGGACACGAAGGGGCCCGCAAAAGGCGTCTAACGCGGGAAGGGGGAGGGGGATGGCAGAATGGCAGGATGGCAGGATGCGGAGCAAGGATGCTCGGCTGCTCAGAGATCCAGAGCGATGCCAACGGAACGGAACGGAGCGAGCATCGAATGGCAGCCAATTAGCGCGCATTGCTCATACGCCACGTTTGTCATGGCAGCCAGACGCCCACACACACAGACACAGACACACACTCTCTCACACACACTCCCGCATATAAACGCTCGTGAGCACACGCACACATGTGCAGCAGCTCGACACACACTCCAAAAACTGGATATCCATTCAATTTACATAGGTTTGTATGCTAGATATAAAATTTATTTTAAGATCAAAAAGATCGATTTTATTGATTGTTGTTTTTGAATTTCTGTAATGTATTCAAATATTTTGTAAAATAATAATAAATTGGGTACTGAATGTATATATAAATTTAAAAAGCACGAAAAAAGCTTAATGATCTCAATGTTTTTATGAATTATAACAAATTTAGATGTTTTTTAATAAAAAATATTTAATGTTAATAAAAACATATTCAGTTTTTCTACATAATAGCGATGAATGCGTTTAAGATACTTCAATGAAATTATAGTTAATGGTAGGTATACAATATTCTTTGAATCATTTTCAATATGTTAATTATCAGTATTATTAAAATTAAAATGTTGTACAATTTTTCATTTAGTTTTTAAATATTTCTTGGTTATGCAACTGCCATGAAATCCTTGATCAACTGATTGCTCATGGCTCTTACTTTTTCTCGCAGTGCTGGCCCTTCGCATAGCGGAAACGGAAGTTGTAAGGGGATTTTCAATTTGCAATTGAACTGATTCTGATTTTTTGGCTTGCTTCTTTTGCTGGGCGCTCATTTTATGGCTGACTTGGCTTGCCGTAGTGGGAGTGCAGAGGACCGGGCTGCGGAAATGTAATCATCGCAATCCACCGAGTTGGGGCAGCCAAAGGAAAGCAGCGGAGGCGAGGTGGCGACTTGTACATATATACTTACATTTAATTTCCACTAATTGAATCGAAATCGATCTTTCGCTCCCTTGCTGCGGAAAAAAGCCCTTCAGAGGGCCTTGACGTTTGCTTTTTGGATTTGCGGCCGTCGGAGGTGTGAGCCGGGAAATTCAGTTGGTTTTCGGGGCGTGGCCGCTTTTGGCGCATTAACAAACTTTCCCTATAAATCAACGAAATTTTTTATAATCTCTTTTTGGTCTCACCACCCCTACGAATCTGCGAAAAGGATTAACTGCGGGGAAAATGCGAATGGCAAAGGACCAGACGAACGGAAAGGTGGCGGAAAATTTCGAATCAGGCGGCAGACATTGCACCATTTTGGCTTCTAATGAGCAAAACGCGTCAGTGGGTAAATGACTTTTCACCGACTAGGAAATTATCGCGATAAGTTGAGGGAAATAATCACTCGATAATCGCAATGAATGGTACGGGTTTTATAGGGTTTCCTTCTGCAGGAAAATGTGAGTCGAATTTAGATTAAGTGATATGGCTTTGGCAAAGCTTTATTTTGTTAGCTATTAGTGATAAAATCAAATCGTTTTGACAGCAAATAGTTTTGAACGGAAAAAAATACAGAACATTCAAAATAACAAAAACTCAGTAATTCAATTAATTTTAAGAAAAGCATTTATTTTGTTCTTAAAGACAGAACATTAAAATTTTATAAACTCTGTACATATTTATTTTATACAGCAATTTTAAATCATTTATATGCTACTTTTTAGAAAAAGTTAAAACGTTTAACCATAAATACCTTTCTTATACAATTTAAAACAGTTTTAATGAAATAAATATTTTTGGAAACACTTAAAATTTGTTGGCCAGAAATATAAAGTGATTTATACAATAACAAAGACTGTTGGTATTAATATTCCTCGGCGTAATCCTCAATCTCCCGAAACGTTGACAGGATGGTATCGTAGAGCTTGTCCATTATCTCCAGCACAGCCGTTTCGCCCAACTTAGGATCGATGAACTTCATCATGGAGAGGTCGTAGAGAAGGTTGGCGGCCCTCGTCCGGATCAGTCCCCAGGTGACCCTCGCCTCATTGCTGGCCGTATTCCGTACAGCCACGATGGCGGCATCGTGGAAGGCCATCATGTTCTTCAGCATGCTGTTGGTCTTGAAGAACGGACAGAAGGCGTCGTACTCGCTGTAGGAGTTCTGTTGCAGGAAGTCGTCCTTCAGCATCTTGGCCACCTCGAGCGTGATCTTGTCCTCCTCGTTCAGCGACGACTTGCCCACCAGCTGAACGATCTCGGCCAGGTCGTCCTCCTCCTGCAGCACCTGCTTGGCCTTGGCCCTCAGCTGGGTGAACTCCGGATTGGTCTCCTCGTAGTAGGTGTCCAGGGTGCGCATGTACTTCGAGTAGGATTGCAGCCAGTTCACCGATGGAAAGTGCTTCCTCTGGGCCAGTTTCTTGTCCAGGCCCCAAAACACCTGGACAATGCTCAACGTGGCGGAGGTCACGGGATCGGAGAAGTCACCGCCGGGAGGCGACACTGCACCCACAATCGAAACGGATCCACTTCGGTCCGGACTCCCCAGGCACCTGACCAATCCGGCTCTCTCGTAGAAGGAGGCCAATCGGGCTCCCAAATACGCCGGATAGCCAGCATCAGCCGGCATCTCCGCCAGTCGTCCGGAGATCTCGCGAAGCGCCTCTGCCCAACGGGAAGTGGAGTCGGCCATCATGGACACATGGTAGCCCATGTCGCGGAAGTATTCCGACAGGGTAATCCCCGTGTAGATGGAGGCCTCTCTCGCTGCCACCGGCATGTTGGAGGTGTTGGCCACCAGGGCGGTGCGCTTCATAATCGACTCCATGGTCCCGTTGACTTCCACCTCCAGTTGGGGGAAGTCCCGGAGCACCTCGGACATCTCGTTGCCTCGCTCTCCGCAGCCCACGTAGATTATCACATCTGAGTTGGAGTATTTAGATAGCGACTGGAACAATAAATAATAGAGGAATTAAAGGTAACTAATTACATTGTTCATACAGAAAGATGAATATAGTTGGGGGCACAAACTATTAGGCCTTATAAAATATTTTGTCCATTCAACCTATTTAATTTTTTTCGAAACTTTCATTGTTTGGATTAAAATATAATATTTTGCCATCACAGCTTGTTTATTTTGAATATTGAATTAAAATATAAATATGCAATGCAAAATTTAAATTTTGCTGCCATTAAACTAGGACAAAGCTATAAAATAAGCTAAGACATATTAATAATTATGCATTAATATGATACATCATTCCATTATGATTGCATACAAAAAGTTTATTATTATTTACAATTTTCTTAAATACATTGGGTTGAAAATTTATTGAACCGATATGATTTTATGATGACGTTTTAATAACTTTTCATAAAATAACACAAATTAATTATTAAAAAGAACCAAATTGTTTTCGGTTTAAAAATAGATAGAATTTTATTTTTTGCTCAAATACTTCAAAATTACGAAGTATGCTTACAAAAAAGATAAAGCCCACAACACATAGAAGTACATTTAAGAATTTTTTGAAAACCCATAACCTACAATAACAAACAATATAGTAAAACTTATAATATTTTACCTGCGAGATGACAGTTTTTCCGCAGCCAAAGGCTCCCGGAATGGCAGTTGTTCCTCCCTGGACGCATGGAAAGAAGGCGTCGAGGACCCGTTGGCCAGTCAGCAGGGGAGAAGTGCTGGGCAGCTTGTCCTCCACAGGACGACACCTTCGCACTGGCCACACCTGGAGCATTGTGTGCCGAGTGACCTCGTCGTTGAACTCCGTCTCCACGATGACATCCTCCACGCAATAGTTTCCTGGAGGAGCCAGCCACTTGAGGCGACCTTTGCACTTCGGTGGCAACATCAGTCGGTGGTCGTGCATCATGCTGTTCTCGAAAACCGATCCGTAGATATCCCCGCCGGTGACCAAATCATCAATCTTGATTTTGGCCGGGGTAAAGGAGTACGAAATGTTCCTGGGCAAGGCGGGCACATCGATTCCCTTGGGCACGTAGATGGAATTGGTCAGCTCGTTGATGGTTCTCAGGGGTCGTTGGATGCCATCGAAGATGCTGCCCATAATGCCGGGACCCAGTTCCACGGAGAGTGGCTTGCCCGTTTGGAACACCGGATCCCCGACACTCACACCCGAGGTGTCCTCGTACACCTGGATGGTGGCCATGTCGCCCTCCAGCCGGATTATTTCACCCACCAGCTGGCAATGGCCCACGCGAACCAGCTCGTACATGGCTGCTCCGGCCATTTCCTCGGCATTCACCACTGGACCGGAGACCCCAAAGATTCTACCCTTGTGCGGCTCCTCTTCATACTCGTCGTAGTCATCTTCTATGTCACCGCTATACGTGTGCGATCCTATCACCTTTTCGTTTACGTAGCCAGAATCCTCGTTCTTGGGTGTATCCATTGTTATGTGCGCGTTCTTGGTGGAATGAGTGGATCGCAGTGAGGTACGTCGCCGGCTCTTTGAACCTTCAGCATCTAGATCATCATTCTTGTTCTCATCCGTGACCTCATCCATGACCGCATTCTGAGCGTCCTCATTTACAGCACGGTCAACTTGGTTAGGATTCACTATAGAAGAACGTTGAGATTCAGGTTCAGGTTCCGGTTGAAGTTGAGGTTGAGGTTGAGGAGGACGACAGGTACAAGTGTGGCAAGTGCATTTCTTTGATTTGGGCAAAACCTGCGTCTGCGGTTTCTGCTGCACCTCCGGGACCCATGAGTCCGAAATCCGGGATTCGGACCCACTGGGTGTGGTGCTGGTGTTCGAGGTGAGCGGGGCAATCCATGGTTCCTTTTTCTTATCCATTTCGATTAAAAAAGAACAATTTTAACTTTACGTATTACTAATTTTGATTATTTTGTCAGTTATAGAAAGGAAAAAGTGATATGATGATTGCAAAACAACAAACTATATCTTCCTTATTCGGTGTCAATAAAATTAAAATTTAATTTGATGAGCAAAAATTATTCGTTGTATCAAGACAAATTTTTTGTATAAATTGTTGAACTTATGACTAATTGCAAACGGTTAAAAGCTTGATGTATAATTCAAATGTGTAAAAGTAAATATTTAGTAAAACTTTAAAGATGTATTGTCTTAATAAACCTTGCTTTATTGATGTTAAGCCTATATATTTTTAAATTGAGTTGATTCCGTAAAACCTTCCATAAGTGTTTTTATCGACTTTAAAATATTGGAATAGTAATACAATGTAGTTAGCAGTTCGTTGGTAGAAAAGTACAAAGGTAATCCCATAGCCGTACAAAAATGAATAATTTTTCTTTGTTTGAAGACAGTGAACTCGACTTTCAATTACATTAAATGTATTTGTTGTTGCACTTTATTCGTACATTTAATATTTCATACTTTAAATATTTACATAAATTTAACAAACAAACAGGGAGAAAACATGACTTTTTCACAAATAAACAAGAATTTCCATTCATTAAACAATAATACTATTTATGCATGCATTTGTATTTGTGTCTTTTATGTATGTGTTTTGTGTGTGTGTGTGCGCCAGTGTCCGTGTACTTTTATTCAAGTGTGTGTGCGTTTTTTATTGCTGTTGTTGATGTTGTTATTTTGTTGTTGTAAATAGAAGTACATAGCAGGACGTTGTAGTTGTTGCTGATGCCTTGAGCAGCCCCTATTTGGGGGGCGGAGGGGGCGTGGTTAGAGGAAGTATTAACCGCAGGCCGGAATGTTTACATCTCTCGCTGGCACCAAAGAAGTTTGTGGAATTTGTTGGACTTTCGTTATTCATCGAATGCAGCACGGAATTGTTGGTGTTTGATTAGGCTTTTTCGGATGGTTTTTGACTGCTTTCATTTTTAAAAGTTAACTATATAACAAATATAAGATTAGAGTGTAAAAGTAGGGCCGACGCGGTCTCTAGTCCTCCAGATTCCTGAAGGCCTGCTGCAGGTCCTCGTGCAGCTGCTCGAAGTCAGCCTTGATCTTGGCCTCACCATCCTTAACAGGGTCCTAAAATGGATCACAAAATATAATTAAAACCCGTAGTTATGGATACAAATTATGTAGGGAAACGCACCTTGAACTTCATGGACGACAGCTGGTACATAATGTTGCCCATAGCCTCACGGATCACGTTCCAGGTGATCTTGTTCTCGGACTGGGCCGTCGACTCCACAGAGTGGCGGGCCAGGTCGTAGAAGTCGATGATGTTCTTCAGCATGCCGACGGTCTTGTAGAACGGGCAGAAGCGATCGTACGAGGAGTAGGAGTTCTGCTGCAGGAAATCGTCCTTCAGCAGCTTGGCCACCTCAAGCGTGATCTTGTCGGTTTCGGCCAGGGAGGCCTTGCCGACCAGCTGCACGATTTCGGAGAGGTCCTCCTCCTCCTGCAGGATCTCCTTGACCTTGGTACGCAGGGGCACAAACTCGGGGAAGTTCTTGTCATAGAAATCGTCCAAAGCGCGCATGTACTTCGAGTACGAAATCAGCCAGTTGATCGAGGGGAAGTGCTTGCGCTGGGCCAGCTTCTTGTCCAGACCCCAGAACACCTGCACGATACCCAGAGTGGCGGAGGTCACGGGATCGGAGAAGTCACCACCAGGGGGCGACACAGCACCGACAATGGACACGGATCCCTCGCGCTCGGGGTTACCCAAGCACTTGACGCGACCGGCACGCTCGTAGAAGGAGGCCAGACGGGCACCCAAGTAGGCTGGGTAGCCGGAATCGGCGGGCATCTCAGCCAGACGACCCGAAATCTCACGCAGAGCCTCGGCCCAACGGGAGGTGGAGTCAGCCATCATGGACACGTTGTAACCCATATCACGGAAGTACTCGGATAGAGTGATACCAGTGTAGATGGAGGCCTCACGGGCAGCCACAGGCATGTTGGAGGTATTGGCAACCAAAGCGGTACGCTTCATGATGGACTCGGTCACGCCGTCGATCTCCACGGACAGCTCGGGGAAGTCACGCAGTACCTCAGACATCTCGTTACCACGCTCGCCGCAACCGACGTAGATGATGACATCGGAGTTGGAGTACTTGGACAGGGCCTAAGGGCAGTAATGATTCGTTATAAGGGATTCTTCTTTAAAGACTAGAGTTTATGAGTCCTTACCTGCGAGATCACAGTCTTGCCGCAACCGAAGGCTCCGGGAATGGCGGTGGTGCCGCCCTGGACGCAGGGGAAGAGCGAGTCGAGGACACGCTGTCCGGTGAGCAGGGGATGGTTGGCGGGCAGCTTCTCGGTCACGGGACGGGGCTGACGCACGGGCCACACCTGCAACATGGTGTGCTTGGTGATCTCGCCGTCGAATTCCGTCTCCAGGACGACATCGTCGACTTTGTAGTTGCCGGAGGGGGCGATGTAGCGCACTGTACCCTTGGCGCGGGGGTTCACGATCATCTTGTGCTTGACCAGGGTGTTCTCGTGCACCAGACCGTACAGGTCACCTCCGGTGATGTGGGAGCCGACCTTCACGTTCAAGGGGTTGAACTCCCAGCTGGCCACGCGCGACAAACTGGGCACGTTCACACCCTTGGGAATGTAGATGGACTCGGTCAGCTCGTTGATGTCCTTCAGGGGACGCTGGATACCGTCAAAGATGCTGCCCATGATGCCGGGTCCCAGCTCCACGGAGAGGGGCTTGCCGGTACGCAGGACGGGATCGCCCACGGTGACGCCGGAGGTTTCCTCGTACACCTGGATGGTGGCCATGTCGCCTTCCAGACGGATGATCTCGCCCACCAGCTCGTAGTAGCCGACGCGGACCAACTCGTACATAGCCGATCCAGACATGGCCTCGGCGGTGACGACTGGAAAGGAGGGTTAATCGGATTAGAGGGATTAGATTTTATATGCTATATACTAGTTTTCTATGTCTTGTATTCCAGTTAGAACTGCACGATGTATACATTATTGATATACTTTATGGAAGGAAATTTACCACGTTTAACAACAATTTTTTAATTATATAGTAAACTTTATTTATATAATAAAAGGATTTTATTAATTGTTGAGTGGATACAAATATAGTTTCTCAATATTATTACAATAAAACTTCTGATAATTTTGACTAGGAATTGTAGCATAGAAATATAATATGTACTTTAATAAACCAATTACCAAATAATAATTTGTTATTTGATGAAGCAATCAAGGTTGAATTGCTAAACAATGGAATTTACACATTTCACATGCTTGATTTAGTGTACATATGTAGGTTATGAAAAACACTACATATATTTAAAAAAATAATTAACTTCTTACCAGGACCAGAGACAGCGAACACACGTCCATATTTGGACTCACGCTCCTCATCATCGAAACGCTTAAGGTTGGACATTTTGCTTTATTCTGTTTCTACAACTGCAAGGAAAAATATGAAAAGAAAATTAAAAAATGCTGGCGGGAGAAGGGCAGAGATAAAGGTGAAAAATTTCTTATCACTAATTGCTAGTTGGCTCTTCTGTCAGCTGACAAAAAAACAGGTGTACTAGTGCCTCTCTCTACGATTTCCAGGTTAAGTTTGCAAAGTATTTATTGCTGCTGCTTAAATTATGATTTAAGGTTATAAATGATTTCCATTTTACTACTACTTTTAACTGATTTCATTAATTTTTAACTCCCCCTCTTCGATAATACGGCGTATAACTTTAAAAAGCAGAGCTTTCGTTTCACGTGACAGAGCTTTGAAAGTTCGAAAAAGAGTAATTTGCTTAACTAATCGCTAAATAAATAAAAAATAACTGTGTAAATGCACGCACAAACAGACAAATTGAGCTAACAAATGTAACTGAAACGTTTGTTTTTGAAAATATGCGGGTTTTAGTTTTTATCTAACTAAAAAAAAACAAGAGAACTCAAATAACAAGAGGGAGAGAGAGAAAGAGAGTAACTCTTCGCTCTCTCCATTCGAGTTCGAATATTTGACAATTGCTTTTGACGTTGATCACAAGACTACTGTCATTGCCGTCAGCTGACGAGCGAAAAAAAGAGGGTAAGGAAAAAAGTAAGAAAAAAATCTTAGGACCGCCTTGAGTCGCCGTCTCCATATTGGTTTTTCCTAACCAGAGAACCCAAAATCCCAACTTCTGTTTCGAACTTCGAAATACGATTGAGCGAGAGAGAGGCGGCGATCACAAGACTTGCGGTGCGACAGAGACGGAACGAACACGGGGAAGGGGGTCAGCTGACAAGGCAAAATAATTTTCCACGCGCAAATTTTCACGTTCTTCAACCGCACTTTTCTGAACTCCGTTTAAAAACTAATCAATATTTGAGTTTTTTGTTATTCGCTTTTGATTGAGTGTGTACTGCAGTTATTATCTAACACAGTTGCAGTCTGAGTGCGTGTTTTCGCTCTCCGCTTTGATCAATGCTTCGTCACTTTTTTGGGGGCGATTTCAAGGCGGCTTCCAATGCCGCTTTCTTTTATTTATTACAATCGTTTAGAAAATGTGTGTTTAAAAACGTTTTTTATCTTTAATTATCGGGCTGGGTGTGAAAGGTGGGTGCTTACTTCGAACGAGTGATTGCTGCCTTTTTTCCAACTGACTTTTTCCGACTGAGCCACAGAAATAAAACGTCGACGCTCGCTGTTCGCTGTTCGAAAAGCTCCCAACAGCGATTCGATTTAGCCCCAACCGATCGCGAGCTTTTCACCGCGAGTTTTTAAGCGAAGTTGTGAGCTGAATATCGAATACAAGCAGAGCTTTCATCAATCGAAATGCCTCAGCGAGAGAGGGGAGTGCGAGGGAGATGGAGCTATAGAAATTTTAAGAGAGAAGGTAGGGGGTCACACTGGAAGAAGTTCGTGGGCTGTTTATAAAGTTCTTAAATGGGGTTTTTTTTTTTTTAAGAAACGGAGTAGCAAGAGTATACAACTGTACG